ACTCCATGAGATAATAAATTGCACCTAGTGTTTAACCAAAGTCCAGGTACATTTGGAATAGATGGTATATTCTGTAGGGAGATCCTACTATATGATTGCTGGAGCAGTAGTGCTAAATTTGAAGTTTCAATGTAGGAATCTCTTGAGGCTATTTGAAAGACCGCCTTACTATGTCAATCATCCAAAAGCTGTTTTGGTTTTTTTATTTTAAGAATTTCATAAAGTGTAACTTCAACCAACATATCTGACGCATTTGGCCTTTATGTTCACCTATTTTGATTGCTATTTTTTGGAGTTTTTTAAGAAAAATATACTGTAGCAATTGTAATAATTTGATGTATGTGAAATAAAAATATGATTGAAAAATATGTTAATAAGAATTTTTTTTTTTGTTGAGAAAATGACAATACAAACAAGGCATATTCGAATCCTGTTACCAGTTAAAAACCTAGTATAAACCTATCTAACCTTTGTACGCCTTGATCTTGAAATGGATTGAATCTTAAGTCTCTTTCTAAACATTTCCAATATATGTATTGATGTTAAGAAAAAAATAAGTGCCACTTAATATTTTACCAATTATCCCTATTTCACTAGGCACTCTACCACTTTCTTTTTCTTTTTCTTTTTTTTTTTGGCAAATCCTACCCAAAAAAGCTTCCTACTTTTCGGGCTTTTGCCGGTCTATGCATTACCATATTTTTTGTGACCGAAACGTTAGAAATGTTATTGATATCAAAAACAAGCTATACAACTTGAGCAAAGGCCCATATTGAGCTTTACAAGAGTGTCCCTAGACACAGAGGATTTAAATATTCCTCATCTTGTACTAACTTAGTAGCATAAGCACTAATCCTTCTACTTATCATATTACATTTGTGTTGAAATTATCAATTGTGTTGAAACTAAAAAAAGAAAAGAAAAAATAGTAAATTTTATATACACCGACAGTGTATACACTATCACCATTGGATCTATAGCATATATACAGAAGTTGAATTTTAATTTCAAAATTTGTATAGTTATTATTCATCGAGCGCTAATATTATATATACTGTCAGTGTAGTAAAGATTAATCTAAAAAAAAAACACATAAAGTCAATAAAATTATTTCACATAAAACTAATCTCCATTCATTTGTTACAATAAAAAAATCAAAAGATTGGCAATCACACACATATCAAGTGTCTCAAAAATACTATATAAAAGATGCAGTGATGAATAAACAGCATTCTGTTTGTGTGCTTATTTTGGAGCCGTGTATTGGAATTTATTGGTCTTTGGAAACCTTAGAGCATCTTCCCCTACATTTGCTTGATTCATATGGGAAAGTAGAAAATAAACTTAGAGCATCCACAATGCTATTACACTTTGTGGAGTGTAATCCACATGCCACGTCAGCATTCCACTTTCTCCTCTTTTATTACACTTTCACTCACAATGGATTACACTCCACAAGGTGTAATAGCATGGGTCCACAATTAATCAAATATTTATTTTAATAATGCATAACTCATATCCCATAAATAAATAAAGTAATTTTTAAAACTAATTTTGTTATTTTTAAAAAATATAGTACTAACTTTCGTTAAATTTTGTACATTTTGAATTTTTGTATTTTCTAAAAATGATATTATTAATTTTTAAGTTTGAATAATATATCTTTTTCTATGTTTCAAAAATAATATATTGTTATTTTTTTAAAAATAATTATGTAGGAAATTAAACAAATATTTGATACTTCAAATGCGAAGATATCATAATAATCCATACTTAATTAATAATTCGGAATGTAATTAGTTGAACTCCATAACATAATATTACATAAGTTAAATCAAATAAAATACAAATAATAACAAAATGAATACTAGATTACACGCATAGGAAGAAAATTCAATGGATTACACGCATCACCTGTGTGATGCGTGTAATATCCATGACACGGCTCCAATGGGGAGCCGTGTCATGGAGGGGTGTAATGGCTCCCCATTACACCCCCATTGGAGCTGCCCTTAGAGCAAAACTTTTTACTTATTTATTCATTTTTGGTAGATCAATAATCAATTAGGGCAAAAGTTGGAAACAACAAGATAACTATATAGCTAAGCTTAAAAATCTGCTGATTTCATTGCATGAAAATGTCTTATAGGCCTGTGGTTGTGAACATTGGCTTAAGATGAGTTTTAGCCTTTTAGGCCTTGAAACTAGAGATGAGTTTTCTCCAACTTCAGGAGAACACAGGCTTGAGCCTTTTAGAGTTTGCTTTTAGGAAGTTAATCAAATGCCAGTTTTGATAGGTGTACGTGTGTTCGTATTAGGCATGTGATTTTTTTTTTTTTTTTTTGTCAATCGTCACTTTGTCTATACTATCATATACTATCCTAATTTAAGAAGAAGATTCAACTAGATCTAGAAGGGCCGGTGGAGATTGAATCAACAGTGGACCAGACGGGTGCAGTACGCACCCGTCTGGACCCACCTGAATTTTTTAAGAAACTACTTAATGTGGCAACCAAGCCTTAAATGGTTTATTAGACATATGATTGGTTAGTAAATATTTTGGTATTTTCACGATACAAACTTCTTGAAATTTTTTGAAAAAGGTCCCTGTATATCTAGTTCATTCATAGATCATCTTACAAGCAATGTGAATCTCACACGTATACAATCACATGATTGTGAAATGATCCACAGATGAATGGTACATGCGAACTATGGACTCGTATGCTTATAAGATGGTATAAGAGCGAATTGATCCATATATGAATAAAAATCAGATATTCTAATATTAGAATCTAATTTGTTTCATCTAGTACATTGATCTGCGAATTAATCTTGATAATTACTTATTAGTCAGCTCTATGTTCTTGCATCAAAATTTAAGGACTTTGTTGGTTAAATTCTTAGATGTTTGTTAAAGGTTTATACTTGGATATAAGTTAAATGGTAGGGAAGGCAAATAGTTTTGTAACAAACATGGAAGATTGGACTAAATACTCAGCTCGTTCCGTGACTCCTTTCTTGCTGACCAATAGTCTGGTCAGCAGTAAAATCATTTAGTTTGTCAAAAAGAGGAAAAAAAAAAAAAGGTCCAAGCTTTTTTTGTTAATTTTGTCTCTTGTACTATTTTGGAAAAGGTCAAGGTTAACATTTTTGCGTATATTAAAGGCATCACCTTTTTATAGACTGTTAATGTATAAATTTTTTTTTTTACACTTGTAGGTTTAGATCATACCATATAACATGAATTCAAATTTGAAATTCAAATCATGCATGTGGTGTACAACGATAACTAGTAATGTTAAAAATGACTACACTGTCAGTGTATAAAATGTTATTTCATTTTAGAGTATTTAATTGGAAAGCCATTTTTCTCAAAAAATCTTTATATCTTTCGTGAACATATTTTTCAATCACTTTTTTACGTTACATATGTCACATTGATATAGTACATTTTTCTACAAAAACCTCCAAAAAATAGCAATCAAAGCGGGCTATTTTAAGGACAACACAAACATCAATATTACCTTCCAAAAATGTTCTCAATTATATGTCTTGTTTCAGTTAAATGTTTAAAGAATCCAAGTGCTGTATTCCTTTTTTCCATATTAAAAGGCCAGAAAAAAGAGACTTTCGTTTTCTTTTCCTTTTTTAACCCTTTCAACAAATTAATCAAATCCTCCTATTCACATAGGTATGAATATGCGTGGTTACTATTAGGGTTGTAAATGAATCAAATCGTTTAATGAACACTCGTAAGTTTGTTCAATCAAAGTACGACTCGAATTCAATCAATATTGAGTCATTAGGATTGTAAACGAATTAAGTTCTCACGAGCGCTCGTAAGCCGGTTTGGTCAAAGTTTGACTTGAACTCAGTCAAACTTGATCCAAATTCGATCAACGTCGAGTTCAAGTTGATTAAGTTATCGAACTCAACATATTAACTCATGAGCCCACTCAAATACATACATACATACATACAATATATATACGTGTGTGTGCGCTTGAGCATGCGTGTGTGTGTGTAATTTTTTATTTTAATAGTGAAAGTACATATATATTCCTATTATTTTATTATTTATTAAGGAAAAATGACTATTTTATTCATTTTAAAAATATAAAAGGATTATTTTTATTTTTTAAATTCGATTAGGCTCGAATTTGACCCCAATAGTTAAGCTCGAGTTTGAATTTGAGATCGATCTTAAGGTCAAATTTTATGTTGAAAGTTCGTTGAGTTTGAACATGATAAAATTGAGTCGAAACTTAGTTCGATTAGGCCAAAATTTGATTTGATTTAATTCGTTTGTAACGCTAACTTGTTTACACTCACAACTCTGGCCTGTTTGACAACAAGTTTTTTTTCCAAATTTTTCTACTACAAATTTTTTAACAACTTTACCTACGATAACATAAAAAAGTCCTTAAAATTTTTAAAATATAGATCTCAAAATAGACAAAAATATGCAAAAAGAATTTCTTTTTTTTTATTTCTTTTTCTTTCTCCTCTCACCTCAACCCACCACCACCTTCGCCGCCGGCCAACACTGGCTACATTTTTTTTGTTTTTTTGCTTTCTCTTCTACCTCTCCTGCTGTTGCTATTGTCCGGCAGTGGCAGTAGGAAAGGAGTAAGACCAGTGGCGGGGTGAGAAAGAAGAAAAAGGAGAAAAAAGAAAAAAGAAAAGAAGAAACAAAGAATTAAAAAGAAAACAAAAAGGAAAACAAAAAGAAAAAAAAAAGTTTTACAGAGTTTTAGACAAACATTGAAAAATTCATTCGTGAAACTGGGCCTCCCATTAGCTATTACACGACGCATAAGCCATAATTGAGAAAACACACAAGTGCAACTACCCTACATGTCACTCCCTGCACATGCAAATCTCAGCCGTTAAAATCATCAACTGACCAATCATCATCATCCTCCCAAACTGAAGAGCAACTACCCTACATGTCGCTCCCTGCACATGCAAATCTCAGCCGTTAAAATCAATCCACGACTCAATCAACTGACCAATCATCATCATCCTCCCAAATTGAAGAGCACCACCATCTCTATTCTCCTCTTCTCGTCTCTCCTTCTCTCTCTGCGCAAATCATCGCAAGAGCGGACCGCCGGAGCCGACGATCTGTCAAACTCCGACCAAAACCCTACCTTTCTGTCTCCTCTCCCGAAATCTTCTCAATTTCTGCGAACTTTTAGTTAAGGATTGGTCGGCTTTGTATTATTGAATTGTGTTTTTACTAGAGAAAGCAGTGAATTTTGGAGCTTTGAAGGCTCTAAGTTGACTCGTTGAGTCAAGCCTCCGAGTTCGCTCAGTCTGTTTCCTTCTGCGGTAATTGAAGTTTCAATTTTTAGCTTTTTAAATTGTTGTGTAGTCCTGTTGTTTAAATAATTGATGATGCTAAGAAGCTGTAGGGTTTGAGAATTTTTATTCTCCTTTTGGTTGAATTTGTGTACTTTTTTGGCGGAAAGGGTGTGGCGATGAATTACTTTGTTTTAATTTGGTGTATTTGATAGAATTTCATGGTAAGTTTAGTTGCTATTTGTTTAATGGATAATCATCTTTCTTGGGTGTAGTTTCCAAATTTTAGATTTTTTTTATGACATGATAGACAAGTGTGTGCTGAGATACATTCAGCTTATGCATATATGTAAGCTGAATTTAATTCCAGTATTTGGGGTTGGCTGGACGAATAGTTGGGTGATTATTCAACAACTTTGATCTAGGGTTATTTGAAATAAAAAAGAATTAATTATAATTGCTACAGATTGGAAATGTTTTTGAGCTGCTTTCAATACAAAGTGTTGGAACAGTTAGATTATTGGTTTCTTCTCGATAATTACGGGGCCACTGGTACAAGTTGCAGAATGGTTTGAGGCGTTTGTAAGAAGGTGGTGCAGTTGAGCCATGGGCAGTAGTGAGATGGACAAGTCCTCTAAGGAGGCAAAGGAAGCAAAGGAGTCAAAGACTCCTCCTCAGGTGAAATTATGTTTTCAGTTTCTAATTTCACCCAAGCTCACTTTTTCTTTTGAATTATTTGTGCATTCTTCTGGTGATGGCTTTTTAATTTTTTTTACTATGCTTTTTGTTATTTTTTTGGGGTACTTTCAGGAGCAGCCATCTGCTCCAAGTACTGGAACTCCAGACTGGTCTGGCTTTCAGGTGCACGTTTGTGGAAATATTCATCAACAGTCTCCTTGCTTGCCTTCAATTTTTTCTTCTATTTGATAGTGTATGGGTTTTTCAATGCAGGCATATTCACCTATGCCTCCGCATGGTTTCTTGGCATCAAGTCCCCAAGCGCATCCCTATATGTGGGGAGTTCAGGTACAAAATTTTCTTTGTTGTCTGATTCTGTTAGATCCTAATTTCACTACATGTACAGAAAGGGGACTGCTTGTCTTGTTTGTCACTTTTTTTAACTACTTTTTGCACTTTGTTTGAAGTGAGAGAGTATATGTTAATGAAATCAAAGAAAGCACTAGATTAGGTTGGGGAATTGTCCCAATTCTTGTCATTGGTGACAGAAGTTAAATGGAACTTCTATTTTTACTAGAAGAATTTTTCTTTCTGTGTGATAGCTGCAACTGCTATTAACTATTGCCCCCAATATTTTGCAGCATCTTATGCCACCCTATGGTACTCCACCTCATCCATATGTAGCAATGTATCCCCCTGGTGGCATATATGCTCATCCATCCATTCCTCCGGTATCTTATGATTATTTTTGTTTAGTCAAATCTTTTTTTGATTCTTGTGATGCCTCTAAAAGTCATAAATCTTTCTTCTAAACTTAATTAGGGATCTTATCCATTCAGTCCATTTGCAATGGCTTCCCCGAATGGTGTGGCAGAAGCTTCTGTAAGTTGCCTTGACTAGTCATCTTTCTTCAAGGACTTATATTCTGGTCAAAAAACAATCTAATGATCACACTTGAAATTGTCTTCCTAAGGGTAACACTCCTGGAAACATGGAGGTGGATGGTAAGCCATCTGAAGGGAAAGAAAAGCTTCCTATTAAAAGATCTAAGGGAAGCCTTGGAAGTCTGAACATGATTACTGGGAGGAACAATGAACCTGGTAAAACTGCTGGAGCATCGGCCAATGGTGCTTACTCTAAAAGGTACGGATATTGCATGCCTGTTCTTTTATTTATGTTTATAGGAAACTACCTTGACTAGGGCGCTATGTAGGATTGCAATGTCATAAAATGGCTTCAACAATTGAAAATAGAGAAGGAAAGAAACACTGCATTACTAAGTAATAGGCATAACTACATCTGCTTATCTTGTGTTTAGGCCAAACTACCAGTATACCCTGCAGTTTCAAAGGAACAACTATTACCCCTCTCAACTTGATAGATGTGAGATGGTATTAAACTTTTTTTAATGGCAATAATATCCTAAATTACATAAGAAATAACAATGGAAATCTTGACCAGAAAATGGATAAAGTAACAAAATGAAGAATTGAAAATAGAGAAAAGAGAAGGAATTTTCTCCCTTACTCCAGTCAAACCTGGCCAAAGCTGCAAATGGCTACATTATTCGACGCATGTCAGGAAAGCTGTCAAAATAGTTGAAGCAAAGAAGCTGGGATTTGACAAGATTTTACCTCCTTGGCAGGAGTCCTCCTTTTTTGCTTCTAAGCCTATGGGTATTAGCAGCTGTTTTCCGCTGTTGTTCCCCTCCCAAGGGCAACTTCTTACATGTTACTGACCTGTCCACCCTTGAAACACTGCTTCCTGTATTCTGGAATTACTATATGACTTTTGATATATGTTGTCTTCTAATTTGTGTGCACAAAGTACATCCGCTTGTTTATAGCAGCCTTGGTTCCAAAAGTAGTTAGCTTGCTGTTGTTTAATAATGACACCATTGTAGCAACCAAGTTCAACTACCTTAGGTGGAAGTTTAAGGGCAAACCTGATTAAGGGTAAGGCATAAGTAGATGTTTCAGGGACAGCCATGAGTGGTAGTTCAAGGGACAGGCTTTGGTGGAAGTCCAATGATCAGCCACCATTGCAGCAGCTTTAGCGGACCACCTTTCCCACCAGTGTGTTAAATAAGGCTACCTGTGTTGCTTGAGTATTGCACTATAAATACATGTATAAGCTTCTTATAAATACCTGCCATCCATGAAGAAATTCTAGGAAAGAAATCCTCTTATGCTTAGGTGCACAACCTAAGTTCTCTTCTTCCCTTCCCCGTTCCTCTTGTTTATTGACTGGTCTTACACTTTCTTCTTTTACGCTACTTTTGTTGCTCTTTGATAGACGCAAGATATTTGCAAGGCTATGAAGCTTAAAATTAAAATGAAAAGATCCTATCTCTGTTCATCTTCCTTGTGTGTGGCTTGAATACGTGGTGTACTTTTTCTGGGAGGTTTAGTGGAAGGCAGATGGGCTTAGGAGTTTTTGAAGGTGGGCTTCAGAGAGGTTGAGAGGACAGTAGTTGTCTTTTGTTCTCAATTTAATTTTCATTTATCTTTTATTTCTTTGAATAAATTGGGAATTGAGAAGGAAATGATATGTTTTAATCAAGAATGGATCTATCATCTTGGTTTACAATACATAGAAGTGGCAAATGAGAATCCCATTGATGTTTACATTACTACTGATTCCACACCTATCGAGGTAACCCTTTAACCAAATTGGCCTGCATTGACTATTGACCCTGTTTTGACATGACTAAAATCTATTTGTAACCCAAGGTTGTTGCTCTTTAGTGGGGTTTATTGTGCAAATCTGGTAACTATGCATAAATTTTCTGTTATCGTCTTCCTATTTTTAACTGACAATCTTTTTGGATTTGCAGTGGCGAGAGTGCAAGTGATGGTTCAAGTGAAGGAAGTGATGCCAATTCTCAAAATGTAGGTGTCAATTACTTTAAAATTGTTTTGTATTATAGCTCTTAACAGATTTTTTTTTTGCTCATATGGTATTTCGACCTTCCCTTTCATACTTGAGATGAAATCTAGTGATCTTATGACCTTGGACCCTAATTTCTATATGCCCTGGGAGTATCATACTTGTCCTGCAGGTGATATGATTGATGGTTTCCTTTTCCTCCTTTATTGGGACACTTTTGATATATATTGAGTCAAAAGGTTTTTCATTTATACGGTATCATAAATATTTTAACCTCTTCCTCTTCTTTCCTAATTTTCCATGGAACTACATTTTGATGGTGTTGGTAGTTATGGTTGATGGAGTTCGTTTGTCAAGTGAATGAACTTCAAATTTAATACTTGTTGACTATGATCTCATCTGCTATCTGGAATCTTTACCTGCTAGGTTCTGATCAACCGTTTGAAACATATGTCAAGTAGGTACCCCAAAAATACTCAAGTTTATTGATGGTTGAGTGCATCCTGTAGCGGATGAACTTCATTCTCTTGTCAGTTCGTTAACAATTCAATTCATATGAATGAGTTAATTCTTAAATAAGTAGATTGCTTTGGTATATCAAAATATTAGTTGGTAGCTGTGCTTAATTAGTGGTGGATAGATGCCATAATATGAATGGAAGCTATCTTGCTTGTTGATAACCACAAGAACTTTCTTTTGAATATAGTATCTGCATTGAGATGCTGTTGAAATTTTTAGCAGTTGCTAGATTGTTTTTTGTAGTATGAACTCATTTTGGATTTGACTAGAGACACATTTGAAGGACAGTCAACCTAGAACTGATGGGAAAAAGCATTTATAATTGACCAAGTTAGAATATAACACAGAATTAGAGGTCAAGAAAACAAGAAAAAATGTTTCAGGTCTACTACTATTAGCTTGAATGCTTTTTATAATGTTTCAGTTCTATTGTTATTTTGGTAATGGGTAGTTGGAACTTGTGAAGTGATTGGTAACGGGTAGTTGAAACAATTATTTGTTTTATATAAGACATGTTCATTGAAGAATTGCCAACTGAGGTTGGTAGTTATTAATTAAAGTTAGTTCATTTGAAATGCAGTTTCTGTGAGTACCATGCTTTTCTTCAGATATGTTTTCTCTCTGAGATCTAATTAATTGTGGCTCTGGTTTATGGATTTGTGCTATTTGAATTGCAATTTTTTCAGTACTATGTTTTCTGTCAAATATGTTCTCTCTGAGGTCAAATTAATTGTGGCTCCAGTTTATTTATTTGTACCATATATGAGGTGTTGACATGTGCCAGGGCTTCAGTGCCCTAAGCCACTTCCTGTCTCAAGTTATGTTATTATTATGTTTGTGTCAAGCCTCAATCAAATTATGCTTCTGACTTCTGAGGTACTTTATCCAACCATTACATGGACAATGGTGTCTTGTTTATGTGCATAGAATCATCATGATACTTTTGGTGCAAAATAGCTGGTAGTGAAGATGTACCATCTGTAGAAAAAATAGAAAATTTAGCAGCACTCCCTGAGGCTCAAAAGAGTTATACCTTGTCGTTGTGGTACTTGACCTCTCTCTCTACAGACCTTACAAACATTCTTATTGTTTACAATCATGTTTGCTGTGTGTTGAATGACACTTTATAGGAAGATATTTTGTGCTCACACACTTGGATTGCTGCTATGATTATTTGCTTGTGAGGAAGTTGAGAAGAAATGCATTCTGATGATTTGCTCGTATTCTGTTCTCATTTTTATGTTTATTTTCTGTAGGAGTCACAAATGAAGTCAGGACAGAGGCAAGATTCAGGTATGATTCTTGGAATGTTTCTGGATGTGCAGACAGTATCTTGGAACCCATTTTGTTGATTGTAAAAGTTATTATGCCTTCAATACAGCCGAGACATCCCAGAATGGAAGTGCTGCTCATGGTTCACAGAATGGTGGACCCAACACACCTCATTCTATGGTGAACTCTGTGCCTATGGTGCCAATTTCGGCACCTGGGGCTCCTGGAGGTCTTTCTGGTCCCGCCACTAATTTGAATATTGGAATGGACTACTGGGGATCTGCTGCTTCACCTACTGTTCCTGCAATGCGTGGGAAGGTGCCCACTGCACCAGTTGCAGGGGGAATGGTCACTGGTGGGAGGGATGGCGTTCAATCACAGCTTTGGATACAGGTATCTTTTGTTCGTCTAAATGATTCTTAGTTTCTTAAATTGTTGTCCTTTCTCTGTTTTTTCTTTCTGTGCTATGGGCAGTGTATGTGTTTGGTTCTCAAGTACAGTGTTGACCTTGAATGTGGTAATTTGTTATGTTTTTCGAGATCTTCCCTTGGGTTTTAAAATGAAGTCTTACTCATTTCTATCTTTGGTCTGGCAGTGAAGTTTATGGTTTTACGGTGGCCATTTAACTGTACAAGTTCAAAGTGTTTTGGTTTTACAAGAGAAAAGACTAAATGCTATGAGATTGCTCTCAGTGCTAGTAGGTGAAGCAGAATGGAAGTTGTAAGTTGCATTCACAAACTGGGGCTTTAGATGGGTGTTTGAATGATTCTGGGGACAGAAGAAAAGACATAGAAGCTGAACCCATCAGTAGAATAAATGATAGGAAGAAAGAATATTGCTCAGTAGACTCTAATTATGTGCTTTGTTTTTAATACTTCTCCAAAGGTAATAGCTTGTTAAAATAGTATTCATTGTAAATGTGGTCAGGTTTTGCTCTTCTCTATGATAGGGAGGTTGTTACTGGTGGTGGTATGAGGACAAAGATGCCAAAATAAATGTTGAATTCTGTCTCCTGTAGCTGTTTGTGTCTGGATTCACTTTTGGAATTCTTGCAAGTTATTTGATTGTGCAATGTTTGCTATATTCTTGCTTATTGTGAGATTATTTATTTGCTAACTATAACTTTGTGTAAAAGCACAAAAGTTTCTTATGCCCGTGTTTCATCCGCTTCTTTTCCCTCCTTGGGTCAGGATGAAAGGGAGCTCAAAAGGCAGAGAAGAAAGCAGTCTAACAGAGAATCTGCTCGTCGTTCCAGGTTGCGCAAGCAGGTGAGAAGTACATTCTCTTCTTATTCAAAAATGTTTAGTTTGGTACTTGCTTAAACTTGTTATCCGTGGTTTTGTTCCTATGTACATTGATAGGCGGAATGTGATGAACTAGCCCAGCGAGCTGAAGCTTTGAAAGAAGAAAATGCCTCTCTTAGAGCAGAAGTGAATCGTATCAGGAGCGAGTATGATCAACTCCTGGCTCAAAATGCATCTCTGAAGGTATTTTCTTATACTTTGTGTAACAAATACATGGTTAGCGTGAAGTTGCCATTGGGACATGCATGCTGTGGTTCTCTCTCCCTTTTCAACCTAGCTTTGAATTTTTTAAGGAAATTTCCTTTTTCCTTCTCTTCTTGGTGGAGCTCGTGTAATTATTTTGGGTTGCGAGGAAGTGGGATTTTTGGATGGCTACGGCTTTTATGCGGATAATGATTGTGATCTTCTCTCTATGAAGATAATTTTTTCTTGAAAGTGTTAGAAATGTATCCATGTGGAGCATAGTTCTCTGGTCAAGGCATTTTTGGAAGCTCAGTGGTAAGAATGATAAGGAGCTTAAAACATTTCCGCAAGGAATTAGTACTTTCACCTTTAATGAACTTGTAATCAATATGATGAGTCAAGGGGGTGAGGGTTATGTTCAGATTTGTGTAACTGTCAACGCTGTAGCTTTATTTATTTCGAACTTTTGGAACTAATGGTTCGTCATTTGCTGTCTTTCTGGAGTTATTGTATTAAATAATAAAAGGTTTCTGAACTCTTGCAGGAGAGACTCGGTGAAGTCCCTGGGCCAGACGATCCAAGATCTAGTAGGAATGAGCAGCATGCGGGCAATGATGCCCAACATTCTGGGCAAGCAGAACCTCTGCAAAGAGGGCAATGAAGATTTTAGCTGCAAAATGATTTCTAGGGGCTTAACCTAACAACTTAGTAGGGCATAGTATGTAGTTTAAAATTCGTTGGAGCTGACCTTTGTAGTATTTTGTCTAATACCCTCCCCATCATATCTTGGGTCGACCAATCTTTTATGGTCTGAGATTCCCATTGATGGCATCATGTAGAGCGAGCGGGTGATCCGTGTTGCACCCTTGTTCTGTGACAAGAGGTAGTATCCCCATTTATCTAAGATCCGTATGTACTAATTATGGTTGATGGATCGACGAATAAGCATAATGTATGGGATATGAGATTGCCTTTATATTAAAATTCTGGGCTTTTGCTTTTGTACATGATCTCTTCTCTCGTTGTTTTTTTTTGTTTTTTGTTTTTATGGTCATTTGTTTTCCTATCCATTTCTTGGAGCTTTGTTAATCTGTACAACTCGTTTGCTGCAACCACAAAACCCAAGTTGGATGTTTAGTTGAACCGTGGACGTAACATATTAGTGTGTGATTGGATTCAGACCGACTAATCATCAATCAAAGTCGTCTTCAATGAATGGCCAACTATTCATTCCAGTTGTACTGGCATTTTTGTCTGTAATTCTCATCAGACTTACTGGATTAGCAGTGCCGGGGATATGATGATCCCTGCGCCCGGCCAATTTAATCAGCTAAATTGTTTGCCGGTGCTCTCTGTTTTGATGGTTAACCTGAGAAGCTAAAGAACGCAGCAGTCTCAGGATCGTTGAGCTCGTACGATTTTAACCCACCAAAAAAAAAAAGAGGAAGGACAAAAAACTTCAATAGTTGGTCGGATCAAGTTTTGGCTATCAAACAATTTTTCGTCAGAAGTTGGTCACTAAACTAACTAATGAGTAATCCGTAATCATTGCATAGATTAATGGTATTAATCTATGAAATAAGCAAAGTACGTGGCATAGTTTAAGAGCATTAGTTGACATAATGATCACGGGTGTACTGATTAGTTAGTATAGTGATCAACTTGTGATCAACTTGTGATAAAAAGTTGTTTCATGGTCAAAACTTGGCTTGATTAATAGTTTAGTGACTGCTGAAATTTTTTATCCAAAACAGAAAGAAAGAAAGAAAGAAAAGAAAATCACTACAGTGAAAAGAAGAAAGAAAGGAAGAAAAGAAAATCACTAACACTTCAGGCTTCTACAATATGTTTATATTTATTGTGTGTTAGTGTCTACATAATACCGTGTAATTAAAACTGACAGTTATAGAAGCCCATTGATCGGAGATGGTGACGGAGGAATCTCAATAGAAAGCGTGGGAAGAGGTGATGAAGTTCAGAAGTTGGTAAAGGAAGCGCGACGACTTCTGATGAGAGGTGAAAGAAAGGATGGTAAAATAGTAGTTCTCTTAGTTTTTGTGAGGGTAGTTTAGGCACTCTGAACAAAATTGCTGTGTCAGAAATAGATTTGCACTTCCTCTGCCAATGTCACCAACCACGTATATATAAATTAGTATATACAGAATTTTCTCTCTAGTTTTTCCACCGGCCCACAGATAAAGAAGAGACTAGAATGGTCAAATACTAATAAATCTTGAAATACGGGTTGTTTGGATTGATCATTTTTTTTAAAATAAATTTTTAAATATAATGTTATAATAATATATAAATATAATAATTTAAAAAACATCTCGTTCAATAATTTATTAAATATTTTAAAAAATATTTATAATAAATTTTTTTATATACATTGTTATAATAAAAATTTTAAAAAATATTTTACAAAATAACTAATTTAAATGGATTATAATTTTTTTTCCTTTTTTTAGGTACTAAAAAAGCTTGTTAAATTTAATAGTATTTATTAATTTTTTCTTTAAAAATCACTAGTTTGGGTGGGTGATAGAGAAGAGCTTTTAAAGTTTTTTTTCCAATAAATTAAAGAATAAAAGAATAAAAAGCCTTAAATATAAAAAGTTGGACAGCATAAACAAGAAAGGGCAAAAATCTCCTTTTTTTTTTCGCCCCCTCTTCTGCTATGTCTGTTAACAGAAAAAAAATCTTTCCAACACTTTTTCTTTCTACTCATAAAAACTCTTCTAGTCTCTCCTCCTCCTTAAAATCTGAACACCAAAATATTTACCCAAAAATTGCAAAGAGACGGCGAAAATAATTCCGGCGGGAAATTCCAGAGTAAATATGCAAATCTCCGGCGTATTTACCGACGTATCGGTGGTTCTTCCGACCAGCGGTGGCTACAATTCCAAGCATCTCCACCCGTTCTCCGACTCACATAAGTCTTCACTGTCCCTTAGTATACCCAAAGTAATTTTTTTTTTACACTTCTATTTTCCCGTATTCTCATACCATCATTGAATTGCCTAAATTGTTATTGAGTCCACCTGAGGAGCTTATTGCAGTTAGTTTAATTTGGGGAAAGTTCTGTTAAAGTTTCTGAATCTCTATTAAAGATGGGAATTCTTTGTAGTTTAGGTGTAATAAGTAGGTGCCTTAGGGTAATTGGTTTGAAGGAATAAGCTTATATAAATACGGATTATGTGCATTTATGACCCTCAATTAAAATTTTTATACTAACACTGTATTAAAAATTTACTCTTTTTTGTTTAATCAAGAAAGAAAAATTCATCTTTTTTTTTTTTAACAAAATAGGAGGAATTTGACTGCATCTTCATAATGGGATAAATAAAAAAATATTGACTTTCATAACAATTTTGCTTGTTTTATATCCAAACTGAGAATCAGGTACTTTATGTTGCTGTAATCTTTTAGATGACGATAAACTTCGAGTTTGATTTTGTGTGGATTTTATAACCAATTCTTTAAATTTTTATATCTCCCAAAGATTGATGTGAGATTTGTTTGATTATACTAGTGCATAGATATCATGCTCGTGGCGGATATGTTTTTGAGTTTCAGTAGTAGAGGATAACAGATTTCTCTATGCTGATGTTTTCTATATTGTTGTTGAACTTAAGACCATTGACAGTACAACTTGACTGCAGTTTGAATTGGCTAGCAATTGTCTCAAATGAGCATAATGTGGAAACGGCAAACTAAGTTTGCTCCAGTTCCTCCCTATAAAAAGGTCCAACATATGCACCCGAATTCTGTCATTTTTAGATAAGGGCTAGGTGTATTGGAATTTGTTACCTCTTATATTGCAGCAGTCAGCAGTCTAACTCAGCTCACCTTTGTGAGCACCATAGAATGTTTGGTTGTAATACATGTGAGCTTATGTTTTCTGGAGCTTTCTTATTCTATATTCGGCTAAGCTACTTTGGTCCTCCTAATGGAAGAATTGAATAGAATGAAGCTGAGTTTCTTGTTCTCTAACAGAAAACAATTGGGACCCTGGAAGTTAAAGATATTAGCCATACCGTGATAGGTATTAGAGAAGCTTTTCTGACTTTTATTTGCCATGGATACTAACTGCAACAAGCGGTTTACATGTATTATCTGGATGATTTTTGTTACAGCACTTAGCAAGGTGGAGTTTTGCATTTATATCTGTTCTCTAACATCTACATTCAAGTCTGCAAAACTTTCAGATGTAATGAATTCCTTGTCACAGGGCTGTCCTTCATATTCTTTTCGGGCGCTAGGAGTTGGGTCAGACCAAAGAAAAGGAAGCTTTGCTGTAAGGGCATCTGAAAGTTTTTCTGGTGATTTGGTTCCAATTGCTCCTGTACAACTTGAGTCCCCAGTTGGTCAGTTTTTGGCCCAAATATTACAAAACCACCCACATCTACTCCCTGCAGCTATTGATCAACAACTTGAAAATCTACAGAGCGAGAGAGATGCAGAAAACGAGAAAAATCCACCATCATCCCAAGATCTCCTCCTATATAAGTAAGCTATCCGACCATCTTAATATTCATGTTGCTAATTTTTACATGGTTTCTAATTCATGTACGTTTTTAGTTTGAAAATGTAGCCAATGAAGTCAACCAACTTGATTGAAGCTGAATTAGCAATGTTTACATGGATCACGTGACTTTAGTTGATCTACTTGTAATAGCTGGATATGGTAGCTTCTTCCACTGTGTAATTGGTTTTATATGGGAAGAACTGAAAATGGAAAGTAACCGTTAAAGATTCTTTGCTGTTGAGCTCTTCTTAGTAATCTGATGGGGAATTAAAGCAGGAGTTTGCATAACCATTCTCAAGGTTAGAAATTTTGGAATGGTAAGATTTGGCCAGGCTATGATGGAAGTCATGCAGGCCTGCCAACCAAATCAAGCACAGCGATAATAATGGAATGAAGTTATAAAGGACCTTTATTACGGAGCAACCTATCTCTTATGTCTGATAAGTGTTATCCATACGAATAAACTGTCAAATAACAATGGGAGCATATGGCTTCTGTCACAAGATCTTGTCCTATCAATTTTAGCCAATTCTACTAAAGATTAGAAAAGATCTGCCATTTATAACTGAATTGTTAACATGGGAATTGGAATTAAGCATCAACAGATCACATGTAAATGAGTGCTTGGACAAAACTGTTAAGAGATCTGGTATTGAGCTTGGACTGTTGTTTTCTTGAAAGAGTAGGTCGAACAATTTGTATCCAATAGAAACTGATGATGTTTGTGTGATGGATATTTCTTTTTGCTTAGCATCTAAGTCTATTTAATTCAAAATTCATCATCTTGTTCTTCTGCATATACTTATTTGCCCCTAACTTTTGTTTAAACTTGATTATTGCATCAATATTCATGGGGCAGTTACAGTCATTATCTACATTTATGCTGCTGATATGTATATCCAGTGGAAGCTTTACAATTTTGACATATGTGCATGCTAAATTCCAGGAGAATAGCTGAAGTAAAGGATAAAGAAAGGCGGAAGGCTGTGGAGGACATAATCTACTGCCTGGTTGTTCACAAATTTGTAGACAATAAAATTTCCATGATACCAAAAATAACTTCTACTTCTGATCCTGCTGGAAGGGTGGACTTTTGGCCAAACCAAGAACAGAAGCTGGAATCTGTGCACTCTCCTGAAGCATTTGAAATGATACTTAGTCACCTATCTCTTGTATTAGGAGAGAGGGTAGTAGGTCCCTTAGACACAATTGTGCAGATTAGCAAAATTAAACTTGGAAAGCTTTATGCTGCTTCTATCATGTATGGTTATTTTCTCAGAAGAGTTGATGAGAGGTATCAACTTGAGAGATCAATGAACACCCTCCCTGAAAAGCCAAACAAGGGCCAGCCGTTTTTCCGAGGGCCAACACCGGGAAAGCAACTATGGGCCCCAGAGTCATTGATACAGATCCCTCCTGATGATGCTGATGATGGTGAACCAATGGATTTAGGTGGTGATGGTAAATCATATAGGTTGA